AGGGTCTGCTCTGGGCGAGGATGGGTGTCTCAGGGGGTCACCGGAGGTGAGGGGAGGAGCAAGCTGAAGATGTGCCATTTCTAAATCAGTCCATGACGCCAGACAGGAGTTTTTAAGAGCCTCAAGCCAAGAAAAGGATTGCTGATGGATGCGCTTCCCACTTGAAACTCACTCATGTGGTGGCAGACGTCAGCCTACCTGCCTCATGGCTCTGCCACTTGCCTGCTTGCTCTGGAGAGGGTCAGTAACCTTCCAGCTTTCTAGAACCTCCCCATGTGCCGCGGCTCAGCGAGCTTTTTAAAGCCTCCCACATGCAGGTTATCTGCCTCTCCTGGCCTGAAAGTGTTTGTCCCCAAGGAGCTGCTATTTAATGCCTTCCTTAGTTACCAAGGGATGGGAAGTTTCTCCCATCATTCCACGGCCTTCCAAACACAGATGGGATTTATTGTAGTTGCTGCTGCCTTGACCTCATTAATGTTTTACAGCAGAGACCAGCAGTGCACCTACTACAGCCCCACAGCTCGGGTCTCCCAGTGCACTGAACATCTTTGGGGAAGTTGAAGTGATTTCACTCCCAAACCAGCTCTGCTCCTGCCTTTCAGGACCTCACCTGCACCCTGCCTGATGCCGGATGACGGCTCTCAGCAGCTCCTCTCATAACAGGCACGGCGGGTGGGAAAGCACAGACAGCACGAGGAGGAGAGAGGGAAGAGAAAACAAGGACAAAACCAGAGCAAAACAAGAGGAACAAATCCAAGCTGTGCCATGGACAGCATAACCCGGGAGCCAGCGACAGACAAACAGGATGCTAATTGGCACAGAGGGGTGGAAGCAGAAGAGGAGGGGGGTCAGCCCTGGGTTTGGTGGGGAAAGGCAGAGGTGACCATGGAGTGACATTCATGATACCCATTGAGAATGGCTACAGGGAGGAAAGGTGAGAACTGGGAGTCCTGAGGCCTTTTGGAGAGCTTTCCTCCCTTGTGGAGAACAGGAGGGAGCATCCAACCTGGCTGGAGTCCTGCAAAGTGCCCCTGGTGCTCTAAATTGCTCTCAACAGTACACACATTGACTTCATGAGCATCAAGGCTTTCCCTGGAGCTCCTCTACATCCTCTGGAGTTTGTGCTTCACCCCCAAACCCTGCAGGGTTAATCCCTGGTGCTTTCCAGGGCAAACAGCTGAGGATGCTCGAGGCCTCAAGATGCGCCTCTCCATCAGCCAAGCACTGCATGGAGCTGGGGTTCCCCCACCACAGACTTATTCAGAGGCTCTGCACAGTAAGGACAACCTGGCGCCAAGCTTTGCAAGAGGCAGATCTGGCCAGAGCTCAGCAGAAATGGGGAATTAAGACACTGAACTAAACCAATGCACCCCCACCCAATTTCTCCCCAAACCAGGAATTTCACGCTCGGGAGGGTTTTGGACCAGGATCCCGTATTACTTCCAAAGCACAGAGAGCAGAGAGTGCTTGGCACTGCACAGCAATCCAGTCTTTGCACTAAAGCTCTTGCAAGCCCAAAGTAATTCGGATGCAGAAGCGATCTCAGCTGCTGGGAAGGAACTCAAACAGCAGAAGACAAAGGGAGCCTGTGCAGGGATGCAGAAAAAGAAGAGCTGTTGGCTGGGTATGGGCAGGGGACACACATGGATAAAAGGATGGTGGAGGAGGTAAAGGAAGCAGGACAGGGAAAATCCACGGATGGCTGTGGCCACTGTTGCTAAAATGCACCCGATAGCAGGGGCTTGTTCAGTGCTGCAGGTCCCGCATGCCCCTTGCAAGAGCCTTCCAGCAGTGCCTGCTGTGAGCCACACACGGAGCCTGGACACAGCAGGGAGATGCTGGGGCGCAGCAAGCGTACGCACGGAGGCACACGGACTGCACAAGCCACCCTACAGCCAACACCTGGTGCCACGCTCACCTCCCCAGAGCCTTCCACCACCACACCAGCTCGGGTTGGTCACTGCAAAGCCATGCAGAGATGCCTTCTGCTCCCAGGCGCAGGCCCTGCACGTCTTGCTTGCAGTGCCACCTGCCGCCAACGGCAATGCTCTTCAGACGCTGGAAGGGGACAACAGCAACGCAATGAACTTCCTGCTGTTACATCAGCTTTCCCTGGCCTTTAACAGCAGCCAAACTCCTGATCCAGAAAAGCCACGCTCTTTTCCCAAGCTGCAGGCATCCCACGAGGCGCAGGCGTAGCAGCAGACGCTAATAAAGGCCTTTCTCCCCCCTTTCCTTCTCCCTTTTATGCTGCATTGTCGCTGGAGCCAATCTCTTCCCCCCAGAGACCGCATCCTGAAGCTCGCTCATTGATTCTTTATGCTAAAGGATGACTCTGCAGTCGAAATAATGTGGCAGGTTCTAGCTCGAGTTTCAGACACCGTGAGGCTTCTTAATAACGACTTTGCATGAGAAATTAGGGGGGCTGCAACAAAGAGCTCCGACGGAGGCTTCCAAAGTGACTCAGAGCCAAGAGAGCCGCGCTTTTCCAAAGCCCAGCATGAGACAATCTCTAAAGCCCCCGCGCTCAGAGAGAGCCCAATCCTCCCCCTGTGGAAAAAACAAGGCCTTTTCTTTAAGGAGACTTCCCCCAGGGTGAAAATGCCTGCGTTTGGTGGGCAGGTTTGGGTATCTTGGCTGAAATGGCATCCCGTTTCCATGAGAAGGCCTCATCCCCACCTTGGCTTGCGCAGGGTGGGAGCCCCTCTGCTGCAGTCAGCCTGGGCTTCCCGTTTGGCTCTGCAGCGCTCCAAAATGGGGCTGGACATGATTATTCCTTGGTGGTGCAGGAAAGCAGCAACACCCCAGTGGTAAAGGGCAGCAAAGACTCTTCCAGTCTCAGCTCCTGAAGCGCTATGGCACCCACACAGACAGCGAGCATCACTCTGCACAGGAGCACCCCTGCTCCTGCTCAGGGCTGCTGCCAACCCTGCAGCTCTTTGCAGCATGATGAAGGGAGAACTGCTTCAGGTTATGTTTTGGCTGCTTTTACTTCCTGCCATCCACACAACCAACACATTTCAGGGGGAAGCAGCAGGGAATGCCTCCCGTGCAGAGGGTTAATGCCATTTATGTTCAGTCCCAATGGCGACCTGCTGGGGTGGGAGGTGCAGGAGAAGACAGGTTTGATTCCTCTGTTCCATCTCCCAAGCTCAGCTCCTAATTCCTTCTGCATCCCGCACTGAATCCCACCTTCACCTCGTCCAGGATACACATCACAGGCACCTCCAGCCCCAGGAATTCTCTCTGCAGCACAGCTCCACTTTTAATAACTGAGCACCATTCACCCCACAAGCCCAGCAGACACCCCCAGAAGAGGTTTATCCTCCAGCGTGGCCAAAAGGAGACCCCCCTGGAGCTGGCAAAGGACGGCTAAAAGCAACAGGGCAGCCGTGCACAGGCAGCTCTTACCATGTTCCAGAAGAGAGGATTGAAGGCGATGGAGAGGGCGGCCACAATGAAGGCAGAGTCAGTCACATCCACGTAGCCGAAGAGCCGTGCCATGACTGTCACATCCACCTGGGGAGGGAAGGACAGTCACTGGGGGTGCAGGATCCTGGGGGGACACTGGGTGTTGCACCCGAATAGGGGGCACTTCATCTCAAACCAAGCTGCCTTGCAAGAGCAGAGGAATTTCTCCATAGCCCCAGGCAATGCTCTGTTCAGGGTGCAAAGCCAAGAGGAAGGATGGGGGCTCCTCCAAGCCTCAGGGATATGGGGTTCTTAGGAAGCACTCAGAAGGACATGAGCACTTTGAGGACACTGTGGGGACAAGCACCAGCCCCTATGGGGCAGCTGCCAACCTCAGCGTGTTCACAGTGCTTTGGTATCCCCAGGGATGGATTTGTGTCCCAGGGATGCTGGTCTGCATGGAAACTCCAAGCAATGAACTGTGGCAGCCTCAAACTTGCCTTCCATAAAGTAAGAGCAATGCGAACCCCTTCCACAGTGAAGGGAGATGCAGCTGCACTGTAAGCTGCTAAAGACTTTCCTGTCTTCCTTAATGACAACAACAAAAAGCCCTTAAAGCTCCGAGTTTTTCCCCCTTTCTCCACTTAAGAAAGAGTTGTTTTCCCCAGGAGGGCTCCCTGACACTGTCAGCATGTTTAGGTGCAATAAGCCCTGCTGCTTCTCCTCCCTGCAGTGGGATTTAGATGAAAAACACTCAGCACCTTCTTTTTTTTCCTATGTTTTTTTTTCCCCAAAACTTGGAAAACAAAGGACAAACCAGCCCAGCCCGAGCCCTTCCCTCGCTTCAATCAAAACCAAGACAACACAGCGGGATGTGGAAGGTTTCTGCTTCCTAAATACAGCTGTGTTTGCAAGTCCTTTGGATGCAGGAACAGGAAAGGTTTGAAAAGGCATCAGCTCCACCTTGCTAGTCCAGGAGAGAAATCCCCGCTGGCTCCTCACACGTTAGAACCAGAGATTCATGGCTGCTATATCTGGTGCCTCCCACAGCCAAGAGCAAAGCACCTGGGAATGGATCCTGTGCTGTCCCAGGGCATGTCCGGGTGCCTCCTGCCCAGCCAGTGAGAACAACTATGATGGGAACAGCCCTTAGGACCTGATCCTGACGCAACTCCCCGTATTCCTCCCTTCTCTTCACCCCTGAGCAGCCCTTTAACCATCAGACCTCATCCCTCCAAACCCAGCCGGGTACCCGGGCTGTTACTGCCTGGTCCTGCTCCAACTGCAATCCAGTGACCAGGACAACTTCTTGCCTCTCGTTTTGTACAGCACTGAGAACAGCACCAGCACAGGCTGAACAGAAGCTTCTTGACCTACTAATCCTGCCTGGCAGCATCGTTAACACACTCACCTGCTCGCCTCCTCCTCAACAACCAAATCCGTGCCTGGCAGTGGGAGGCGGATTGGCCTGTGCCTGCTGTGTGCTTGCAGGGATAAAAGGGGAACCCCTTAGGATGAGCTGTCCCTACAGGCTGGGACAGCCACGGACAAGTACAGGACAGTCAACTTTGTCCGCTCCTCCCCGAGGGGTGATCGATAACTGCGGCAAATGCTGCCTGCCTGCTTGTAACCCCAAAGCTGGGCAGGGTGAGAGCGGCACGGATACCTAATGAGAGACACATGGGCACCCAGTGAGAGCCACACAGGCACCCAGAGAGGCACTGGGTGAGAGCTACATGGGCACCCAGTGAGAGCCACAATGGCAACTGGACCAGCGGCACACAGGCACCCAGTGAAAGCCACAGGGGCAACTGGGTGAGAGCCATATGGGCACCCAGAGAGCCATAGGTGGAATGGGGTGAGAGCTACACGGGCACCCAGTGAAAGCCACAAAGGCAACTGGACCAGAGCCACGCAGTCACCCAGTTGAAAGCCACAGGGGCAACTGGGTGAGAGCCACATGGGCAACCGGGTAAGAGCCACATGGGCACTCAGAGAGCCACAGGTAGAACGGGGTGAGAGCTACATGGGCACCCAGTGAGAGCCACATCCAGAAAGAGCCACTTGGGCACCCAATGGGAGCCACATGGGAACCCAGTGAGAGCCACATGGACACCAGGGTGAGAGCCACATGGGCAACTGCGTAAGAGCAATATGGGCACCCAGAGAGCCATCAGCGGAACAGGGTGAGAGCTACATGGGCACCCAGTGAGGGGCACAAAGGCAACTGGACCAGAGCCACATGGGCATCTGAGGAAGAGCTACATGGGCACCCAGTGAAGGCCAAAGGGGCAACTGGGTGAGTGCCCTATGGGCACCTGATGGGAGTCACATGGCCACACAGTAAGGGCCACATGGGCACTCGAACAGCCACAGGGGGGAACTGGGTGAGAGCCACATGGGCACCCACTGAGAGCCACATGGGCACCCAAGAGCCACATGGGCACCCAAGAGCCACATGGGCACCAAATGAGAGCCACATGGGCACCAAATGAGAGCCACATGGGCATCCAGTGAGAGCCACATGGGCACCAAATGAGAGCCACGTGGGCACCCAAGAGCCACATGGGCACCCACTGAGAACCACATGAACACTCAATGACAGCCACATGGGCACCAAATGAGAGCCACATGGGCACCCAATGAGAGCCACATGGGCACCCAAGAGCCACATGGGCACCCACTGAGAGCCACATGGGCACCCAAGAGCCACATGGGCACCAAATGAGAGCCACATGGGCACCAAATGAGAGCCACATGGGCACCCAAGAGCCACATGGGCACCCAGGAGCCACATGGGCACCCACTGAGAGCCACATGGGCACCCAAGAGCCACATGGGCACCCAGGAGCCACATGGGCACCCACTGAGAGCCACATGGGCACCCAGTGAGAGCCACATGGGCACCCATTGAGAGCCACATGGGCACCCAAGAGCCACATGGGCACCCAATGAGAGTCACATGGGCACCCAATAAGAGCCACATGGGCACCCAAGAGCAACACGGGCACCCAAGAGCCACATGGGCACCCAAGAGCCACATGGGCACCCAATGAGAGTCACATGGGCACCCAATAAGAGCCACATAGGCACCCAAGAGCCACATGGGCACCCAATGAGAGCCACATGGGCACCCAAGAGCCACATGGGCACCCACTGCGAGCCACACGGGCACCCATTGAGAGCCACATGGGCACCCATTGAGAGCCACATGGGCACCCAAGAGCCACACGGGCACCCATTGAGAGCCACATGGGCACCCAAGAGCCACACGGGCACCCAAGAGCCACACGGGCACGCACTGCCGCAGCCCCAGCACCCATGGTCTCTGCCTGGCTCAGCGCAGGCTGTTCCCCACTCCATCGCGCCTCGCGTGGCACCGCTCTGGGCGGGCACCGGACACCGCGCACCCCGGGGCCTGTGCACCTGCGATAGAGACCGCGGAGGGGGGGGGGAAAGAACCGGGCCCGGGCCGGCCCCCCCCCCGCCTTCCCTGTGCGCTCCAAGGCCGGGCCGGGCCGGGCCGTGCCCCGGTGCCGCCCGCCGTTACCTGCCCGTACTCCAGGCCGCCCAGCCCTTCGCAGCACTCCCAAGGGAACGGCCGGCCCCCGGCCAGCCCCGCCATGGCGGAGCGGGGCCGCGGCCGCCGCCGCCGCCGCCTCCCCGGCGGAGCCCCGCGCGTTGGCGCTGCCGGGAAGCGTAGTCCCGCCTCCGGAGCTCCGGAGCGGGGAGCCCGGGGCCGCCTCGGGCAAGCACTGACCTGGGCGCGGGCCCCGCCGCCTCCGTCGCGGGCTGTGTCCGGCTGCGGGAGCGCGCTGCCGGAGCCTGGACTTCGACCCTGCCCCGGTGAAGCAACCGGGGAGGGGGGGGGGACGGGACGGGACCGGACCCGGCGTGGGTCGGCCCCCACCACCCACAGAGTCCCCGTCCCCCCCGGGCAGCCGGTGTGGGGCCGAGGGTGGGAGCGGGTGGAGCAGGCCCCGGCGCTGAGGCGCGGCCTGTGCTGCCCCTACGAAGGGCTCGCAGCAGGGGCAGGCACCAGGACCCATCTCCAGTGGCCTTCTAGCACAGGACAGGCTGTGGAAATTAGATGTTTTTTTGCCCGATATTACTCATTCCAGTCCAAAACATGGAGCCATCAAATCAAGGGCAAATCATTGCGGGTGGCTCCCGTCAGCAGGTGTAGCATTGGCTTTGTAATTGCTGTTATTACTATGACTAATACAGTTTATCTTCTGCACTCTCTCCGGGATGTTGCTGGGTGCAGTGCGGAGCTGAGGGTCTGTGCGTGGACCATCCCCTTCCGCAGGCCGTCTTCTGAGGGGAAACACATTCCATTCAAAAAGGAGTTGGATTTGAAGGGAACCTCATGGATGAGCTGCAAAGCGGCCATCCCAGATGGGAACAGGGAAGGGATGGGATGTCCTGATGCTCGTGCCCTGGCACTTAAATGTGAGTGATGGATCACACAAAGCCCTTCACAGTAACATGGCATCCTTGGAGGATGCGCTTCACAGACCCAGAGCAGCCCAGCTACAGCTGTTGGCTCCACGGGGATCCAGCTTTCCTTACTCCAGACTTGCTGCAGGGTCAGCACTTGGGGTGTGTATATGGGGCTGGACCCCTCCGTTCCCAGTATAACGTGCAGCTCCAGTTTGGGATGCAGGAGCTGTGGTGGGAGCAGCATTCCCTACGGATGCTCTCCAGCTGCTTCCGGCCTCTTCTCCCTCGCACTGGATAATTCTGCTGTGCTGAGTGTGTGATTATCCCTGTGTCATCTCCCCGGCTGGGGCGCCGGAGCAGATGGGAGGATGTTTGTTCTGTCAGTCCCACCAGCTGGGTGCTTGGGGCAGCAGGGATGCGAAGGGGATGCAGGGGGAACAGCAGTGATGGCTGTGTTCAAAGGGGAGGAAATGGTCCTCCAGGGAGGGAATTAGCAGGGAGAAACCTCTTCCCTGCAGCAAGGGAAAGGACAAGGATGCTGTGGCAGGCTGGGAGGAGGAATGGGTCTGGATGAGGGAACTGGAGGGATGAAGGCAGGGATGGGCAATGAGGAGGTGCAGAGGGGAGCTCACGCAAGGCCAGCAGAGCTAGGCTGTCACATACACATCTATCATGTTGTAAGCACCCAGTAAAGGCATGTGCTGCAGTGCCCTACCTGTGCTCAGCTGTGTTTGGGGCAGGGAATCACACCCACACCATTCCCGCTGCCAAATCTCCTGTCCAGGGAACATTTTGCACCTAAGGACCGGGGGTGTTTGCTCTACACTGATCTCTGTCCCGCCTCGGAAACATCCAGCAGCTGAAAAGGAGACAAAGAGGGCTTTCTGCAGGGCTTTTCTTTGTGTTCCCATCCCTCCCCTTGTCCCCATGGCATGCCTTTTATCCTGGTTCCCATTTCCAAGCACCAAGCTGAGGAAGAGGGCATTGCCCTTGGCTTTCCCAAGTCTCTTCCCAGCTCCCAGCGCCCTTTGAAATCCCACTATGGCCCCAAGAGGTCATTGATGAGTGTTGAGTTGCAGATGTCTCTGTGGGCAGAAAGCCCTTAAACGAAGCCGTTCATAATGGAGCATCCCTGTTGGGTGCGGACCAGGATCCAGCTTGCTGGTTGGGAAATGGGATGCAGTGGGGAGCTGACAGGGATCATGCAGCCACCGCTGCTTCTGTTGGCATCTCCTGCAGCAGCACTGGAGGGTTTCCATGTGTTTCACATGTTCACAGCGGTGAGTGCTCCATCCCTTGCAGTGTTCAAGGCCAGGTTGCACAGAGCCTTGGGTGACATGGTCTGGTGTGAGGGGCTGGAACGGGATGGTCCCAAGGTCCTTTCCAACCCAAACCATCCTGTGATGCCATGATTTTATGATCAGCAATGCATGTGTGTGTCAGGCCATGAAGGGTGCTCGCTGCCTGCGGGTTAGCAAGCTGCAGTTTCAAACACAAGGAGAGCCAGGGGACTCCACACGTGGAAATCCAGGGCAGGGTGAGTTTCCCATAGAAGTGAGATATTGGTGGGAAACTGCAGCTGGGTCAGCTTCAGCACAGAGGGATCTCTCTTCTTCCAAGCCATAGAGAAAGCTTCCAGACTAAAGGATTAGTTTTCTTGCTGAGATAAAGGGGAAAAGGGGATATAAAGCACCCACAGCTTCCACATTATGGGTGTCCCCATCAAGCCTCAATGGTCACCAGCAAGGGCTGCTTTCTGCTTGTGGTCTTGGTTTCTCGTAGCTGAGCTCACAATCTGCTCCCACCACAGCGCCATCCCTTGCTGACAGAGGCCCCATTTGTCCCCTTCCCTGAGGGCTGTGTCACGGTCCACACGTCCAAACCTGCCCTGAAATAAACCCTGTTGGGTTTAACCCTTGCGAACGTGCAAAGCTTTGGGCTCAGGGGTCATGGAGATCAAGGATGGAACGTGGAATCGCATGGTAAAGGGCAACATTGCAAACCTAGAGAGAAGCAAACAACACTGGAGCGTGGAGCTGAAGGCTGGGGCAGCAAAAATCACAGCTACTCCTCCGTCCTCCATGAGATAAACATGTTGTCACCAGTGGTGCAATGCTGCAATCCAGCCCTGCAATCCTAGTGGAAATCCTTTAGTGTTTGTGCTGGAAGTTAGCTCTATTTATATTCTGATGAATGATTTACTCGAGTAATTGGCACACAGCTCCCCTATTACAGATCATAAAGAATTAATCACGAGATTTTCAATGCTCCCCTATCAATTTTATTAGGCTTGATTGAACGCGGTGGATTGGGAACATATGGGATGTGAGTCACACTCTGCTCCCTGTTACACCCTGCTTAATGCTGGGGACTCGCCGGGGATGCTGATCCCTGTAAATCCAAAGAGGCAGCTGCTCCTTCCCTTCTTTCTGTGCCCAGATGCTCCTGGAGTTCCCTTAAATACCCAGGGATGAAGAAAGCTCCATACATAAAACAAGGGAAGTTCAGATTGGATATAAGGAAGATCTTTCCTGTGGGGGTGGTGAGGTGCTGGAACAGGGTGCCCATAGAAGTGGTGAATGCCCCATCCCTGGCAGTGTTCAAGGCCAGATTGGATGGAGTCTGGAGCAACCTGCTCTAGTGGAAGGTGCCCCTACCCATAGCAGGAGGTTGGAACTGGGTGATCTTAAGGTCCTTTCCAACCCAACCCATTCTGTGATTCAGCAAAACCCAAGATGCTCCCAAACGGAAAGCCAGGTTGGGAAGAGGATGCTTTG